AATCCATGGCATGATATGGGGTCCTATCAAATGTAACTGGAATTTCTTCAGGCTCCATCTGCTACCAAAATGCACTCTTTTTATTTCGGGGAGTGAGGCGATCAAAGACAGTATTTTCGTGGCACTTGTGTACATAGAGCACGTTGAGGAGTATGGGGCTATCCCAGGGAAAAAACTGTAAGTAACAGCTGTCAATGCTTAGCAACTGAGAACATGCGTTATTAACAATGAATACAATCTCTCACCCATGCGTTGTACCTCCTACGTGTATCTTTGGGCTTGGAGTGTAGCCGATAGAGCACTTACCTAGCACAAGCAGGTTCCACCCCCAGGACCACTATCAGTCAAGCAAAATAAAAAATGAATACAAACTTTAAAATAAATGGTTCTTTTTATTCTTTCAGTTTCCACATATGTAGTTCCATAATATTTCTCCTGCAGATTACATCAATTACATAGACCACTACAATCCTCAAATAATCCCCAACCTGTCAGCCGATCTTTTCCATGGCTCAGCAGTCACCAGAGAGGATCACAAGCTGCAATCAACTGCTCTGAGTTTCGTACACTGTTTCAACACAGGCATGGTGACCCAGGCCTGCAATCCCAGCACTCGGGAGGCTGAGGCAGGAGGATTGTTACGAGTTAAACCAGCCTGGACTACAAAGTGAGCTCAAGGCCAGCCTGAACTGCATAGCGAGACCCTGTCTCAAAAAGACAAAACAAGGGATAGGGATATAGCTCAGCAGCATAAGCGCCTGCCTGGCAAGTGCAAGGTCCTGAGTTCGATTCTCAGTATCAAAACAAACAAACAAATCAAAAAGACAAAACAAAAACAAACACAAAAATCATACACTGTTTCAGGCAAGTATGCTTTTTAACGGCCCACACAAATAACAGATTTACGTCTCCCAATTTTGTGTCTTTGGGAAGCTGTCCAACGTGCGTGAGATAGTCGGTCTTTCTACTCCAAGTTAACATATTTATCTGAGATTGTGCTTGAAGGCTTTTTGTCTCAGACTTAATCTTACCCATTCTTTAACTACTTGTGTAATTCCTACGTTTCCCTTACGACTCCATGCTGTACTTAGCAGAACACGGCCTTGATGACTAGTTTTCTGTATTCTTCGCTTCATAATTTTAATTCCCCCAAAACTCAACTGATTCTGGGCAAAGTGAAAGCAAAGATGATTTCCCCCAAAATACAGCAGCCAGGAGAAAAGGTGAAACACTTGAGTATGTTATGAAGCAATTAACACGAACTCGCAGGACAGCTTCAGTCAGATTCACAGACCCTTTGGATAGAGAGAATCCAAACTCCTCATCTTATACATAAGAGAGCCAAAACCCACCAGGAAGCTCAGTGACTTGCCCATAACGACAGGTCAACTAGGTAACAGCTATGGCCTCACACGGAATTACACATCGTCACCAGGGAGGGCTCTTCACACAGCCGAGCACGGCCCCATGAAGGCCGCTCCCAAAACCTCCGCAGGTAGCCACTCTGGTAAAATCCCACAACTCAAGTCATTGTTTTTTAGGTCGACATAGTATCTTAGAAACTCTGAGATAAATATGTGTCATCAGGAAAATGAGAGGGTAAGAAAAGACAACAGCCCAGAGATTTTAAGCTGGAAGGTGAAAAAATGTCCTATATGTAATCAAAACGACTTGAAATCACCCATAAGCCTAAGCCAGCGAGAATCCAAGAAACGTGCCGTTTTTCACTGGGAACAGACCTACGTTCATGAGTCCAACACTGAAGTTTTCCTTCAGTGAGGAACAGATCCATTTCTTTTGTTCGCTGTCCAATGCAGCCGCCGCCTAGAATTAAAAGAGCGGTTTATGCCTCCCTCAAAAATATATCTATTGATACTGGGCGGGGGCTGTAAAGGTAAGATAGTCCCCTTAGAGAGGCACTCTGGAAAGAAAACACTCAGCTGCCACGCCGCCATCACAAGGGGCCAGCTCCCACCACACAGCACAGCTGGTCTCAAGCACCACTGCACGGCCGTTCACTTCTCAGTCTTCCCTGGGGATGCAGGTGAATTTCTGCAGCTTTGCATGTACGATTCAACTCCATTCCATGACGCTCTTCTCTTGATTGCAGTGGATGTAAAGATGGAGGTTAGCCCCCGGAGGTGGAGCTAGCCCCTGGGGGCGGGGCAACATCTGGCCACAGGGCAGGGCAGGTACAGGGAGGAGTCCAAAAGCAGCTTAAGAACTCGTGAGTGTGTGTCTGTGTGTGTGTGTGTGTGTGTGTGTGTGTGTGTGTGTGTAAGCGAGGAGGGCAAAGGTTACTTTCTGTAGGACAGAGTTAGTTTCAAAAATAATTTTCACCAGGGTCATAATTTCACCTAGAGTTAGTTTTAATGGAAACACTGTAACAGATCCCATTTAATTGATCTGAGTCAACGTAGAATCCTTCCACTCTCAGATGTACAAAGGATCTCACATCTCTAGAACCCATATAGTAGGAAAAATTAATCCAAGAAAATCTTCACATAAGGTCTTGTAAACAGGGAAATGACCCTGGTGCAGAGATAACTAAACCAGCGCTGGAAAGTGGATCCTGCCAACGAGTGCTGCAGAAAGCTAGAAAACCAGACCTGCACCCCTCAAAGCCCGGCCACAAAGAGTCGCGCGGAAATGGTGACGGTGAACAAGTAGTGCCTTAGAATGGAAGGCTGTAGGCTGTCTTGCACTCATAAGCAAAGCTACCTTCCACAGAACGTTTACCTGGCTCGAGGGAAATAATTACTCTTTCCTAAGATAACTTCCCTATCAATGTAACAAGTTCCTGTAAGCACAAATTCCCTTAATTGCTGGCAGAAATTACGCGTGTTTGCTGAATGACATTTAGCTTAACCTCACTGGAGGGGACAAGCCGCAGCAAACCCAAGTCTGTGGTGGGGCCGGAGTCGGTCCACATTCACACACTCAGGTGATCAGGGCTCCCCAGCCCCACCCCACGCCTCTGCCAGGACCCCAGGCATTTTCACAACTTGACCACACAAAAGCAGCTCGGGCAGCTGCAGCCTCTCCCAAATGCCGTTCTCAGCAGCCCTTTTTTGCCTAAGTCTGTATACAGGCAAACACAGGTGTCAACACAACGATCTTTTTGAACTTTGCATTGAATATACGGAAGAACAGCAGGGATCGCAATACTCCACCCATTGTCTCCACCGGGAAAGCTGAGAGACCACATAAGAGAGAAAAAAGCATATATATATGCATACGTCTTACACACGCACTGTACATACATGTGCGTGTACGTGTGTGTGTATATATCACTTGAACAGCAAAATAAAATACTTGTCTTGGAGAGAAAATATACGTTACAAGCCACAAGGCACACAAAGTAAAAATGCTTCATCGGTCTTCACTAGGTCTCCTTCACCGGTTGACAATGTGAACGGACTGAAAGTACTAAAACAGTCAAACCTCCATTCTACACGCCAGCGGCTTCCCCAAACGACAGAGCAATACCCTCTGCGAGTGTGGACGACGGCCCTGAACCTCGCCTCGTATAAAGGAGGAGGCAGATTCCGGTAGTCCCTGCCGGGCTGAACCGCCAGGCTTTCTAGGGAGCTGTTTTATGGAAGAACTCGCCCTCATAAATTAAACAGCCCAGCGTTTCACGGCTCCGACAGCCCTCACTCGGTGGGGCAAGCTCCGGACCCTCGGCGCTCGGACTTGAGAAAATGCCTCCGCGGAAAAGCGGCGCGGGGACAGCGATTCCCGCCGGGGAGGGGGGAGAGCTGGGGGGAGCCGGGGGGAGCCGGGGGCCCGCGCCCCTCCGCCGCGCCCGGA